TAAGCAGGCTGGAATTCTATGGGCTTTCTTAAAGTGTACTCTGAGGCCCTGATCCAAGGCCTTTTGATGTAAACAAAGCTCCCTCAGCTAACTTCAGTGAACTTTGATGGCAAGCATTGCACATTACTTCAGTGAAAGAAGAACAAGAATCTGTTTCAGTGGATTTTTCAAATGTCTTGAATCTTACCATACTGCTTTCTGTTAGACTGAATCTAGGAGCAGCAAAGTGAAGATAGGAAACTGGCATGCTCATTGAAGAATATCACCATTTCTGGAGAAATCATTCTACACCAGGGGGTCAAACTGGCAGCCCGTGGGCCGGATGTGTCACATGCAGGTCATGCCTACCCCAGCTCCACGAATGGGAAAAACGTCACAAAACATCATGATGGCAACGTGACACAGCAAGTTTGACACCCGTGCTCTACATACAGCCTCAGTAGTATAAAGTATATGAAAGGAGATTACTGAAAAAAAACCCATCAAATTACAGGTAGTCCTTGACTTATGACCACAATTGACACCAACATTTCTATGTCAACTCATAAAATATTTCTCTGGTCTTTTAGAGTTGCCAACAGAAAGGGAGGGGGGAGTAGTATAGCAGCTTGCAAAACCAAAACTGCATTCCATAAATGTTTTCGCAAAATTCGCAAAATTCTAACTGGAGAGTATGCTTGATGATTCTTGGCTATGGATGTGTCCCATTGGAGAATATGAATTATGATACAACCAAGTGGTAGGGGAAAACCAGGGTCAAGGGTGACAAAGCATGATGTGTCTCAGAGTCGGCTACACCCAGGTAGCACTGCATGTCTTCTCCTAATAAATCTTCTTTAAACTTTCAAAATCCGGCTAGAGACTCATGGTTTAAAGAGGGGAAACTACCAGAGCCCTGACATTCTGTTGTGAGACAGTTATTAAGTGATTTTTGCTCCATTTTACAACCTTTCTTGCCAGTTGTTAAGTGAATCATTGCAGTTGTTAAGTTAGTAACACAGCTATTGAGTGAATTTGATTTCCCCATTAACTTTGCTTGTCAGAAGGTCACAGAAGGAGATCGCATGATCCCAGCATGCTGCAACCATCAAAATATGAGTCCATTCCCTTGAGTTCAAATTCTGATCATATGACCATGGGGATGACTGCAATAGTCATAAGTGTGAAAAATGGTCATAAGTCACTTTTTCAGTGTCATACTGTGACTGTTCAAAGTTATAGTCACTAAATGAACTGTTATAAGTTGAAGACTACTTGTACATAAACTATTTTGTGGTATTATATCTCTTGCTTCCTGCAAGCTGATGACTTGTTATTATCAGCTGTGAGATGGGCCATAAGGTGAGCTGGGCTAGAAGTCCAGGATCCAGTGTAGTGAGAACAATGCATTTTGTCAGTTCAAATGGCAAAAGTGAACAACGTCCGACACCCATCCTATCTTCTGCTAATGCATTCCCTGTTAAAGTGTCTGGTTGAAACAGTCTGGGAGCATACATATTCAGATTTCAGCATAACCAATGTTCAACAACTGAGATTGGGCTTGCACACCATGCTAAAGAAGAATGTGGTCTGCACAGTCTTTCCTTGTTGTACAAATTACAACTGTACAAATTGTAATAAGTAACTATTACTTTTACAACTTAGCCTGATTTGTAAATACATGAAATTGTGGTTTATTCAGTAATTCACGGGTAAACAGATTATGTGTGACCATAATCTATTTTTTTCTTTTTTTCATTTGTTTAGTTTTACTGTTGTTATTGCTGTGGATTCTGTAGTCTGTTTATATTTTATAACCCTCTCAATCAGTGTTTTTAAATGTGACAAATTTAAGATGTATATATTTCAATTCCTAAAGTTCCCCAGCCTGCAGAATTCCCCTAGTGGCTGAGGAATTTCCCTGGTGGCTGGGGAACTCTGGGAGTTGAAGTCCTCAAATCTTAAAATTGAAAATTTTGAAAAACACTGTTCTAAATCAAAGAATAAAGTTTAGAAAGAGAAACAGCATAAATAAAGACCTCTGGACAGCATCTGACTTGGGACACTAATTTAAATTGCCCCTTCCTTGCAACATTTTACTGTGTTCACCATCATGTTGGCTAAACTGAATGGGAAGACAGGGAAACAAACCCACTTTTTACTCTCTTCCAGGGCTTAGGATTCTGCCCAAAGTCTAGTCCTTTTGCTAAAGGACATTCCCTGAAAACATGGCCAGGTTGGTTAAGAACATGCCTAGTCTGCATGTATGAACTTTTTAGCTATGAAAATGTTACATATTACATGATTATTTTTCGACAGTGGAGTACTTGACTTGCCAAAGGAGAAACAGTAGAAATTGAGGTGAATGTTACAAAATAGTTGGATTTATACACTGCCCTAAATCATAGTGTGCCTTGTGGCTTCCTATGTTGTGTGAATCCAGCCAATTTGTTGCATTTTAGTGTATTCATAAACAATGGTTTTAAATAAATATGATATAGTGCAATTTGTGAAGCCAGTCAGAAAGAAAAACAATCTGGTTTGCTATGATTACATTTGAAGGCACAGAAAAAGATTCCTCACTTTAACTCAATCAAGAAGTAAGATTGTGATCCTCAATGATCTGCTATAAACAAAAAGGAAACATTAAGTGAGTAGAATTATGTCAATTGAATTAATAAAAATTAGTATTACCTTTTTGGGAAAGGGGAATGTCAATTTTAAAAAAATGTACTGAAATTTTGTTCTTAATACAAACTGAGTGGTCAAAGAGACCAAGGATGGAAGCACCATCTCCATCCATCTCCTAGCAGGGATCATCCATGAGTGCAACCAATCCAGCTAGAATCATGTACCCAAGCCTAAAACTTGACTGAAAATGATCCAGACAATCCATTTCCTCCAGGTTCCTCAGAGTTGCAATGCCTCTAGACTAGATGAAAAAATATCCAACATGAAGCGACCCAGCAATAGTTTCTTGAGTAGAGGGTAAACCAGTGTCTCCTTAAAAGGAGTCAGAAATACCTGTTTGACAAGAATGAATTCACCAATGCATGGATCTACCCACTGGAATCCTCCCAGGCAGCCTTAACCAGCCAGCAGAGGCATGAATCTAATACCCAAGTAGTGGCATTTACATTCCACATGACCCTGTCCACTTCCTCAATCCAGCAGAATCAAAACGGTCCCAGATAACTGGATAAGTCCATTTCGTAGGACTTGCACCATGCTTGAAATCCAACTATGAATGAATCTGACTGATTCTATGTTCTAAATGCCTTGAAAATTCCTCCATGCGACCCTGGAGATGGAGCTTCTGGTCATCCTTCCCAAGGAGGGTCCAGGTGCCACTAAGCAGGGGTGGTGGACAGCATTCTGTGGATCAATAAGACTTGAGAGGTATCGACATTTCACTAGTCATCACCATGAGGTAAACCTTAATAATGACTTTAGCCTGTGTTCGGTCAAATTCATTCTTTGTTTTCCTCCAGGGGCACTCCAGGTATCTCTTGACCCTTTTCAACTGTTTCAATTCTTCTGAGAACCATGGAGAAACAAGAGTGATCTCCCTGGACAGGCTGAATAGGTGCAATTATGCCTAGAGCTCTGGAAGACTCTCTATTCCAGGCAGTTGCCAGGGCCTCAGTCTTACTGTGCAGTAGATCAGCAGGTAGTTTCTTCAGCTCTCTTTGAAACCCAAATAGATCCATCAGATTCCAGGAATGGACCAGTCGAGTGTCTGAAAATCTACACATTATTATGTCCTTATTTTGTTCTGTTAAAAAAAAAACCTAAACAGAACAACTCCCTAATTTCCAACCCATTTGTTTTTAAACTATTTTTTAAAAGTGAGGGTGAATTGTGTTTCTATTTATATCCTATTTAACTTCATGAAATCCCAGGAGATGATGCTTCTGCTTGGGAAATCCTTAAAGTAACTGTTAAAGCAATTACTCTGGTGTCCTCGATTTAATCTTTCAAATGTTTAGCACCAGCACTGAGTCACAGCAATTTACTAGGTTGGAAAGGAAAAGAATTGACGTCATCTTAAAATGCCACTGTGTAAATATACTCAATATTTACACGGCAGCCTAGTTTGCTAATCAGACATTATACATACTGGCTCCTTTGCAACAGTGAACTTTGGGAATTTGGCTCCTCAACTTTCAGCTGTGATTAAGAACTAATTTTAAAATGATTCAGGGCACACTTTCTCTAACACAATATATTTCAGTTACTTAGCAAGATGTTTCCTTTATGTTCAAAATCATCCTTCTGGTAGGAATGATCATTTGGAACACAGCATTCCCAGGGGAGACATCAGGTAAGGGATGTTTCGCACAAGAGAGGCTTCAACTGATAGGTAACAAATGGCAATCCAGAGGCTAGGAAGCATAAAAATAAGTGTTACCTTTTAACCTTGAACAATTCAGTGTATTTTCCAACTAAAAGCAGATCGTCCAAAAGCCAGTTTTAAGGTGTTTTGTGTTAACAGGCAAAGCAACCAGGCAACCACAAAAACATATGTTCCTTTTCATATCAGCCTCAAGTTCTTGCACGGTACTAAAATGGTACTGAATTAAGGTACACAGTACACGGTACTGAATTAAGGCAGGCAATTATTATGATTATGGCAGCATAATGTAGCCTATCTTCTGACTAAGAAATTATTGTTATACCATTATCGAAGACAGGGTTTATAAAGTTTGTATGGCCGTAATGAAGGCGAGGCAACTGAACTACATGCCTTTTTGATGTCTGGCCATGTAGGCCAACCTCCCTTATGCACAACAGGCAAGTGAAAGAGATTGACCATGATTTTTCATAAAGCTCTGAGAATTCTAAGAATCAGACTTTTTTACTCAACAGACCTTATATTAATGGAGAGGAATATCTTGCATACAGACTCTCAACAAACTGCAGAATGTAGAAAATGACAGGTGCAACATAGGCAAGGCTAGTCTGTATGGCCCCCCAATAGAGCTCAGGATCTACCATATTATTATTCCATTAATAGCAACAACAATAGCACTTAGACTTCATAGTACCACTTCATAGTGATTTACAGCACTCTGCAAGCAGTTACAAAATCAGAATATTGCCCCCAACAATCTGGGTCTTCATTTTACTGACCTTGGAAAGATGGAAGGCTGAGTCAACCTTCAGCCAGTCATGATCGAACTCCTGGCAGTCAGCAGAATTAGCCTGCAATACTACATTCTAACCACTGTGCCACTACCAAATTAATATTAATCTCAATATTAATCTCATATTAATGTCCAGAGTGGTGTGTGAATTTTTTTTTGTGCCTATTGATTAGGAAAATAACACAATCTTCTGGGGAATCTAGAGGCGCCTACCAAAAAGTAAAGTCTACAGTAACAGATTTGTAGTTGGAAAAATAAAAAAGCTTCAATAGATTCCAGATTTCCAGGCTTTGGAAAAATAATTCCCAAGCCACAGCAGAAGCTATAATGGATGCTCAGCAGTATTATCTGCAGTATATTTGGTTCCCAATGTACTTATCCCAACCTGGCATTTTTATGGCTAGGCACTTACCGATAGAACCATATCAAACCTCTAAAAATTTGAAACCAGCTCTAAGGTGCATGGAAACAGCATCTTCAATGGTAACCAGACAACTCTATAGTGATTGGGTGACTGTTATTTTCCTTTTGAAAAACCGTTTAAAAATACTTCTGAAATCTATGAAAATCTACTGCAGGAAAATGAAAATCAAATACAAAGTCAGCTCAAACAAGGCCCATTTCAGCAGCAGCTGTAACTCTCCTCCTGATCTCTCTATCTTGAGTTTTTGCAAATCCTTTGGATATACGAAATAGGAATTTAGACAGGTTTCCCAACAAACCTTGGCTGTAAAATGTGGTAACGCTACTCTGTTTTAACCACATTTGATCCAAGGTCCAGCTTCAGACAGCATGCTGGTTCATTAATTTGGCTTTAGCATGCTGTACAAGCGCAACCTTTGACACAACCTTCTGTTTGTGGTAAGCCTTGTCTGCTTAACTGTGGTTAATTGAAAAAATAATAGGCTGAATTTACATAATACATCAGCTCTTAAATCATTATTTACATACTGCATTAGTGTGTGCACTAAATAAAAAATAAGCAAAATATATATTTGTTTTAGCAAATGATGCAAATCCTATCTTATTTGACATATAAGGGACCTTACTAATCCAGAAGGTTGCATTAATAGCTATTTGTATGCAGGGGGTGGAACATTGCTGAAATAAATATTTATTTTTGCTTTTTCGATCAAATCTGCATATGCATGCTCATGCAACTAAATCTGTTGCTATAGTACATGGCTGTCCTTTTGAGATTTGATAGATATATCAAAAATAATTCTACTAGCATGCATATTATTTTGACAATCTTCTAATCTTCTTAGACATAAATCTCTTTGATTTTAATAGGGCTTTTTCTTGAATATAGGGGACAGCAATGTGGATTCTTCCAATTTAATTACCAAGAAGCAGTTAAAATATTTTGGACGTGGAGTTTCTTTGACCATGATGGTGGTAATTGAGTTTCAATCACAATAAATCTGGAGGACATATTAGATTGGAGGAAACTTACATAAAGCACACACTTCAATCTACTGACCTTAAGGATTGCTCTAGTCACATTTTCTAAAAAAGACTTTATAACTGACTCCTCCATAGTATCCTAAGGGAGCATTTCTGTTATATGCTAATTAATGATATAGACATTAATTAATACAGTCATTGTTTTTTTTAGGGTCTGTGCTTAGCCTATTTTTTTCCAGAAAAGGAAAGGTAAACCCATCAGTGAACTACGTAAAATAGATGAATGTGTACATAAGCAGTCATTCACTTTGTTGGATTATGTGCAGCAAAGGTAAATTTGAGCTGAGGATGTTTTTAAGGGCAAGTTGTGTGAAGCTGAATAGGTATTATGTCCTATCAAGGACTCATTGTTTCGTAGATTCTATACCCAACAATGCCTCATTGTGATGGCAACAGGGAATGGTGCATTAAATACCCGGGTTTCAGACCCCCTTCACATTTTGGTGTCCTTGTCTGCTGTACAGACTTGGATATTCTCTCTGTCCTTTGTTTTGGTTGGTAATGAGTTCTCTGGCTGAAATAATGAGATCGGACAGTTCATCTGGATTGAAACCAACCACTCTCATCTCCGCCTTTCTAGATTTCCAAGATTTCTCTTCTATTTAATCCCAGAATAATGAATCTAAATGAATTTCTGAGACAGACTTCTAAACAGTTTTTACAAATTTGGAAGACTGCTTTTAGATTTAGATAAATTTCAATTTTGTATGTTTTGGGACTTCAGCTATTCTATTTAATTGGCTGCTTGATGAAACCTGCTTCTGGGTACTCTGAAATTAAAAAAAAATCTATCAGCAGATTTTTTTTTCAATTCACATAGAAATATTTCTTGGAAGGATAAGGAAGCACAACACCAGTTATGTGTTTTATTTGATATAGCCAATATCTCACTGAAGAGATCAGCTTTTCATCTGCAAGTATAAAGGTGAGTTCCTTACCATGAAATGGGATTGTAATGTATAGATTTTGTGACATGGATAAAAATTAGGCCTAGGACAGTTAAATGGTGATTAATGTTATCCTTGGCAAGGTTTTCTAGAGACAAGTGGGCTTAAAAAAAAAACTGTACACCCATGCTGACTATGTAATAAGTGTAGATTCTTAACTCTGAACAGGCAGGCTGGAAATGTTACGTGTATCGGAAACCTTCTATAAGAATTAATAGCTTCTTTGCCAAATAATATATCTGTAATACCTATTTATAAAGAGAAATATTAAACTATTTTAACAGACTAGGGGATTATGTGATAAGAATGCAGATACATAAACATGTAATTAGAATGCAGATACATAAACCTCAGTGAAGACTAATAATAATAATTATAACTATAAATGTGACAACTCTATTTGTCATATTTCTGTAGATTTAAAATTATTCAATCACCAAAATATTAGTATCTTTTATATATTTTATTTCATATATATAATATATAAATTAGATAGATATAGATCTAATTAGTTAATTGAATATTTGATGCTCAAAGTACCACAGCATGCAAATAATATGATCCTGACCTAAAGTAGCTTTCTTTTGCATTTTTATATATTAATTCCATTTAGAAGAAGTGATTGCTTTTGTGGGTGTTTATAATTGTTTGAACACTGTAAAAGTTTGGAAAAAGAGAACAGTGGAAAGATGCTAAGCTTATCATTATGTTAATGATGACTAAAATATTGCATTACAAATTGAAATGACTTTCCATCATTATACAATAATTCAAGCAATTTATCACCATCAGTCCAGTCTGAAAAGGGTCTGTTTACAAATTCGGGTTTCATACACTAGTTTACATATCAGAATAATTTTGACTTAGTCATAAAAGAGAGAATTGTGGGTTTTTTTTCCTCCTTTAGTCTTGTTCATTTTGCCAACAATAACTTGGAAAGAGAACAAAACAAACATCTTTTAAATTATTTTGATCCGACTTCCAAAATAAAGTCAGCATTTAAAATCTGAGGAAAAGTGGACAGGTTCTGGAATAGTCAACAGATTTGTCTTGGGAATTGTATTAAAAGTCCCACAACTTGCTCTTTATTATTTGAGATAAATTATGATTATTTAATGATAATGAAACAATTAAAGACTGCCATTGAGCAGTCTAATTGGTCTACTAGAGCTACCATTTATGTGTTGTAAACACAGGACAATCCCAAGGTGAGAACAAAAACTAATGTTTTCTGTATATTTTGCTGACATTTGGCAGTTGTCCATATTTTTGCAGCAAACATCTGGACAACCCCAAAATGTGCTAGCCGAAGAGCAATCTTGGAGACTTGATATATTTCAATTCAGCTAAAGTGCTGAGCTAAGATGTAAATCACAACTGATAAACCTCAGTGTAAAAATAAAGGCATCTTCTAACACAGTAGATCTTTCTGTGTCTAGCATTATCATTGCCATGTGCCAAAAAAAATGTTTTCCATGGAAAAAGTTTAAAGAGAGAGCTAATATTTTAGTTAAACAGAGAACCTTCAAAATTATTTCTTCTGTGTGGAGATTTTTACTTGTTTTATATGGATAGAGGACCATTCAATCCTGTGAGGCCCCAAAGTCATAAGGCTCAGGGATTTACCACTTCAAAGAGAATTAGTTCTGAGATGGCTCTGTGCTTCAAATTAACTGTGGTCTGAATAAATAAGAAGTAAGGCTGCAGTGTTTGCTGTGAAAAGTGTGGGGATAAGCAGCCTAATTCTTTTTGTTTAAACTCCATTCCACAGAGTTTTATGATGAAACGTCTATCATTATTAATATATTCCACGCTGCACTGTGCCTTTTCATTAAAACTCCAATCAGCTTCATAGTTCTGAATGGCTCCCAAATAGTAAGTTACAAATGCCCCATAGTTGAGTGGGATGGGTTTATATTATCAAAAAAGAAGGAAATATAGCTCAAAAATGGAAAGCAGAATTAGAGTGATTTGAATTTAGATGCAGTCTGACAAGCATTGCTGACATTGTTTTCTCCTGGTTAAGCTGAACACTGTACCCACACGAAAAATAACTGTGTTGTGATATGATTATTCCTAGATTTGATTATCTCTATGCTATGAGAATTATGAACTAATTTGTAGATTGCTAATTTCAAACGATTGAAAAAACATGATTGTTTACTAACACGTTGGTTCTAATGAAAAACAAGTCTCTAATTCCAAAATGGGCAATTTATATTTGTTCCATCTTAGGTTCTGTATATAACTATTGATAAAAGTATATATTAAATTTTCATTTTCCATCTGGAGTCCCAGTTTAGGTGCTACTCTGAATTAAGACATGTTATTATAATAGTCAAGAAAGTTTATTAATATGGGGAGTTGTCAGTGTTTAAAATATAACTCACATTGAACACAAATGTTTTAGGATGATTTATTAAATTGTTTATGGTCTATCCTGAGGATGGTGTAGCAGTATACAGTATAAGAATTAGTTATCTTACCAATCCTTAGTACTTTTTGTCTTAGATACACTTGGAAAGTACTATTAGGAACACTGAGTTCAACTTAGTGCAAAATCTGGAATGAAGCATCCTTAATAAAGGGTTTCCATTTTTA